TAACGTTTGTATACACATCTAGGCATTGTCTCGCTATTTCTTAACATATTATTTTGGAAATAAAGGTTACATCGAGCCCAACATCAGACGGAATTTGTAAGCATCGTTTTCCAAACACAGGAAGTGAATACAATATACCATCTCCGAAAATCAGTACCTTATTTTACATTTACGGCATCCTAATAATATTAAAGAATGTGTTTGATCTACGCTATGATGCTTCTCAAATAAAATCAATGACCTCCCATTCAGAAGATAGAGTACACGTCTGGAATAACAGTCAACAAAGTAGTCAAATCAAGATACTTCGAGGGCTATTCGATATCGTACAAAACCGAAGGGCGTAACTGATCTAAAAGAACAAGTTACGTATGCTTATCTCTAGATACCCCTGGGTCATGTGTGCTTGTATCACGCACGTTCTCTTATGATTGTTATCACATATGAAAAGTTCATCAGCATAATGACTAATGTTTGCTGGAGGGCTATTTAATTATATCAATAATGTCCATTATAGTTGGATGAGAACTTATATTTAATATGATTATCGCCTGTAAACACAATACTATAACTCATTTCACAGAGTGACTGACAATTTGAAAGAGAAAAATACAATTGATTTCTAATGAGAAAGAACTGAAAAATAAAATGTATTCTTTCTTTTTGTGCCTACCAAAGTAACGATAATATTACAATATGATAATTTGCATAATTATTTACCATCATTTCCCTCAATCATATGTGTGAAATACATAATTAATTATAGATCCCTCAATGAATGGAATATATCACGTTGTTCAAATATCAATTACATATGACTGCCAAACCATGCATTAATAACACGTCATTATTTTATTTAAAACTGGTTCAAATGATTGAGACTAAATTATTTATCTTGGTAATTTACAGCCCCTATTATTTTGAAGTGATGGCATACATTGATGTGACTGTCTAGGTTCTTTCCACGTAACATATGTGCGGGTGACTAAATGTAGCTATCGTAGTGAATTAACAGTTTGGTCTAGTGAATAGAACGTTTGATGTCAGTTCCGGGCTACGTTGAATTAATAAAAAAAACATCTATGTTAAAATATTTACCATAGTTGTAAATGTGCACATTAGGAACTGAATAATCATACTGGAATTCTTAGTCCGACATCCGTGTAGCGGGGAGAGTTAGACAAAGCCAAAACACACTCGTTAATTCAATGCAGTAAGATATATGAATTATCTCAAGCTGTTTAAACGAGAAGTGGTGTCAGATATGGGGGTATCCTAACACACTCTATGTGACTCATATCTTCTCTCAATTAGACATATACTGTTGATACAAAAGACAGTGATGATTGCTGTCAAGGACGTATTATACTCTACCGTCAATATGATGTAATTTTATTTTTTACATATGTAACATTGCCCATTACAAGTACCATTCAATTGTAAATCCAATTAGAACGCCATTGTACAGTCTTTTTTTGAAAAGTCATATATATAGATTTAATAATGGTTTGGGTAGTTTCCTCGTTGGTCCATTCCAGCAAGGAATTATTCAATGTCTGCAAATAGTGCAGTGACATGGGTTGAATACACTATGTATATCAGAGCATGCAACTCATATGAACCGAATAAACACTGTGCACTCGGTACGTCACAAATAATTGCTGATGTTCAAATGTAATATTATAAACTGTTGTTGGTTGATACGTTTCCCAACAAGCTTATGTATTTATATGGTTGATTGATTCAATTCTCAACTAGCAAGCGTTTTTAAGATATATATCGCGAGGGAGATATGTGAGGTTGCCGCAGCAGCGGGGCCAAATGCTGGTTGGTTCACAAGTATTATTACATATGTACTGCAGTTTATTTTGATTCGTCCCTGAAATCAAAATCGGTATTTCCATACTTCATATGCAAATGAGGTCTGAGAGCAAACAAAGTAGTCCCTTCAGGAGTACCGTTTTTCGAAACATAGCAGAAATAAACAATATTAAAAAGTACGATATTTTTCTCTTGGGGTACATATGAATATACTTGCCGAGTAAAATGAAATTTGAACAACAGTAATGGTACCTTTAGGAGTCACTTATTTTGACTGAAACTAATTTGCATATCACCTATGCAATAATGTTTTCTGTATTTCCACGGTCGATATGTTAATGAACATGGTATTACCATTGACTACCGAACTATTTTTATTTTGTAAACACATTTCCGTCTGCTATTTTTGTCCGGTTCAAATCGTTCAGCAACATTTTTGGCATGTTAGGTGTACATCACATGGAATACTACGATTGGGAGAACTTAATGTATGTTGACCACCTGGAAACTGAGTTTTATAAACCTTGAAGGGCTCTCGGAAGATCCACCCGCAGTAAAATCACCGATTACTATGCAGCCGCAACCATCAACATCGAGATACGAGAAGGTTTCTGCTGGCGACGTTGCGGCGTTACTCGGGGGGGGGGGGCTACTTCCACATTAAGTGGGTAAGGGTGTGCAGCCCACCTTTCGTAAACCATACTCACTTCTAAACCAATTTTTTTTCTATTTATATAACACTTCTAAGCACAAGTGTTTACAGCGAAAAAAAACACCCAGTTCACAACTTTCGCAACCAGTGAGCACATCCGAGCAGCGACGCATTTTATTCAGCCTTTTCCGTATCTGGCTTTAAATATAAGGACCTGTGCAAAAGTAAATAAATGCTACACACTTCTAAACCAAAACATTGATAAATGACTACCCACTTGTAAACAAAATAACGTGAAATGACACCCCAGTCTGGCGGCACATACCCGTATCACACTTCTATGCAAGTAGCCCCCCCCCCCGGGGGGAATAAATAATTCTGCATCGATTTAGACATTAGGCATTGGCAAACCCAAATGTTTTTGTAAATGGAAAGTACATCATAGCTACACCTGTATATTTTGGTGAAAATATAAACTGATGACATGTTTTCTAAAATAACACATTAGAAGCAATTATGTATATCCGCGCAAATATACACTAAATACGGATATGACGTCAGATATTAAATTATGGAAGAGTATTTCATTATCACGTGTAGCAGATCATGTTGAATAATATTCAGATCAACATTAACATGGTCATAGTTCGTACGGTAACGTCTGTCGACTTCCGAATAATTGATGATCAATGCTGATCAATATCTGACATTACACACTGGTTACGTGTCTTGGGTTCATACATCGGATTGGACAACGTGTTGTAATATTTGTATCATTTATGTTGTTTGGCTTGTAAGATACTATAACCAATTGTGATTTAGGATAACAAATAACTAGAATAGCTTCGATGAGGTTCTTTTGTTTCAAGAAAAATAAATAGCAGACTAACTTTCCAACGTGGATATATTAGCGGATAATTCCTTTTTCAAAAACCTATCATATGGCTGGCCTGAAATTCCGCTTGATTTCGATGTGTTGGCATATGTTTATGGCAATCTAAGAATCTAGACCCAGACACGCTGCGGGACACTGATAGCAAGGGGCAATAAGTATATGTCATTAGAACCTAATGGTTACTTCGAGTGCGATTGCAACGTATTGAATTTCTTAGATCATGTATATTATGCAGCAAGCTTTAATTACTTTAGGCAATGGAAACTGTGGGTTAATGGCCCGGGGTTAATAGTCACGTATTTGTAGTTGAGATAGGAAGTAACGCCGCCCGTCATTACTATAGGCCTTACACGCAAATGGCTGTCGTGAGCAAGAAATCTGCGAGACTTGTTTGTTGTCCCTCAAACACTGTTTTATTATCACTACTGTTACAAATACCATGGTAACATAGATCAATGGAAGAGTAGAAACGGTGGCAGGAGAGAATGAAACACTTTTTTGTGTGGCAGCTTTGATATTATTGTGTTAATATAAGTTGTACTGTTTTTGTTATCTTTACGTCACTGGTTTTGCAATTATGTGGATGATTCACGTAACTATATCTGATGCATAATGAGAATTGGGTTATTATGATTGTCGTGGTGGAACTGCTGTAATATTTTCAAAAAAACAAAAACTTTATTGCGTTTTATAGAGCACATATTACAATAGCACCTTATGTCACAAATTAGTCCTGTTATTTTCATCGATTGTATGCTTTCCATATTTTCACCATTACGAGGCAATTGTTCAATATTGGAATATTAGATCGAAAAATGCAAATCATTTGTTCCAATATTATCACTTTAATTTCAAGCAGAACAGGGTATGTACATGTAAATGACCGCAGAGAAAAACCAAATGTTATGATTATTCCAGGAGACATTTAGAACTGTGTGTGTATGAATCTCACTGATGAAGGGGCAACATTTCATCATTGCATCATGGCGCCCCTACGTACTTTGCAAAACATCTTGGTATCCATACGTAAATTCAAAGAAGTCTTGGTATCCATACGTACATTCCAAAACATCTTGGTATCCATACGTACATTCCAAGACGTCTCGGTATCCGTACGTGCATTCCACGACGTCTTGGTATCCATACGTACATTCCAGACGTCTCGGTATCCATACGTACATTCCAAGACATCTTGGTATCCATACGTACATTCCACGACATCTTGGTATCCATACGTACATTCCAAGACATCTTGGTATCCATACGTACATTCCACGACATCTTGGTATCCGTACGTACATTCCAAGACGTCTCGGTATCCATACGTACATTCCAAGACATCTTGGTATCCATACGTACATTCCACGACATCTTGGTATCCATACGTACAATCCGTGACGTATTGGTATCCATACGTACATTCCAAGACGTATTGGTATCCATACGTACATTCCAAGACGTCTTGATATTCATACGTACATTCCAAGACATCTTGGTATCCATACGTACATTCCAAGACGTCTTGGTATCCATACGTACATTCCAAGACATCTTGGTATCCATACGTACATTCCAAGACGTCTTGGTATCCATGCGTACATTCCACATCTTGGTATCCATACGTACATTCCACGACATCTTGGTAACCATACATACATTCCAAGACATCTTGGTATCCATACGTACATTCCACGACATCCTGGTATCCATACGTACATTCCAAGACATCTTGGTATCCATACGTACATTCCACGACATCTTGGTATCCGTACGTACATTCCAAGACGTCTCGGTATCCGTACGTACATTCCAAGACGTCTCGGTATCCATACGTACATTCCACGACATCTTGGTATCCATACGTACATTCCAAGACGTCTTGATATTCATACGTACATTCCAAGACGTCTTGGTATCCATACGTACATTCCAAGACGTCTTGGTATCCATACGTACATTCCAAGACGTCTCGATATCCGTACGTACATTCCAAGACGTCTCGGTATTCATACGTACATTCCAAGACGTCTTGGTATCCATACGTACATTCCAAGACGTCTCGGTATCCGTACGTACATTCCAAGACGTTTCGGTATCCATACGTACGTTCCACGATATCTTGGTATCCATACGTACATTCCACAATATCATGGTATCCATACGTACATTCCAAGATGTCTTGATATTCATACGTACATTCCAAGACGTCTTGGTATCCATACGTATATTCCAAGACATCTTGGTATCCGTACGTACATTCCAAGACGTCTTGGTATCCATACGTACATTCCAAGACGTCTTGGTATCCATACGTACATTCCAAGACGTCTTGGTATCCATACGTACATTCCAAGACGTCTTGGTATCCATACGTACATTCCAAGACGTATTGGTATTCATACGTACATTCCAAGACGTCTCAGTATCCATACGTACATTC